TGGCCCACCGGGCGAGGTCGTCGAACACGTCGCGGGCGCCGAAGGAACTGCTGGTGCCGGTGCGGAGGGCGGTGCCACACGTGCCGCCTGGCGAGCTCCCAATATCCCAACTAATAGACTCCAGCACTGCCAGCTGCTCCTGTCAGCCTCTCTTAACAGAAGAATTCCGTCGAAGGAATACATTCTTGTGATGGGGGAGGCATCCGAATGTGTCCTTTCCAGCACTGCCAGATCGACTTGCGCTAGTGTTTCTTTTTTTGCCAAGCGACACGCACTGCAGGCTGCCGAGGCCTACGGATCCAACTGCCCGGAAGCATCTGTTGAACCCTCGAACACCTGATGGTAAAAACAGGACTCAACCAAGTACCGCCCCCCCCCGCCCCCCCCCCCCCCCCCCCCCTCCCCCACCCCCCCCCCCCCCCCCCCCCCCCCCCGAAACAAAGAAAAAAGTGAGAATGCTAGAGGCTAGAGACGTTTGTCTGGCTGACTTTTGCTGTTCACGTCTCACGTCTTAGCTCCGCACGTTGTCAAGTATCTGGCGCACTCTTCGGCAGTCTCAAAGCGCGAGCCGCCTTCAATCTGACCTAGCGCAAGTCGGCTCTTTCAGCCCATCCAACTGGCCACCCTTGCAAACGCTTACAGTATTCTGGGAAACTTAGAGCTTCCCATGTCCCTCCCCAACTGACCGTGTTTTGACGAACCTGACGTCACAGGCAAAACGTGCCAAACGCAAGAGAACCTCACATTTCCCTGACCGTAACTCTGAGGGCTTCTTTGACTGGGGTCTCAAAATAGAGGGTCATGGGTGGTTGAACTTGCGGTCTCCCTGTCTAACCTGAAAAAAAAACTTTAACAAACACGCGGCCAGCAGTTCCTGTGTCGCCGAGTCGCAATGGTCCTGCAGTTCAGACAATGGTCTCCGCCGCCAGGTCTCAAAGCGCTCCCACATCGCCTGGCAACGGCGCGTTGAGCTCAAAGGGCCTGCTGCTTGGTGTTTCGAAGGAAGCATCCTCGCCACACTTTGCACGTTCATTCTCTGAGCCATGTGACACCGTGCAGAGCCACCAGTGTTTACGTTTGTGTACAACCAACAGGAGTGCCCGTTTATTGAAACACTCATGTGAGCCACGGTCTCGCGTGTCGGGCTTTGTGAGAAATCGATTGAGCCTTCCAACGCCCTCCCAAATTACGATTGACAACAGACTGCATATGTTGGCCAAACCTCGTGTGGGAGTGTCTTCTTTTGAGCATACCTCTGTTTTGTGGTTCTAAAGGGAAACCAAAAGGGAAACCTGCCGGTCCCTAACACTCATCTAACACAGCTTTTGCCCCCCAAACAAAAACTGCGATCTTTGATTCCGGCCCCATATCTACAAAAAGAAACAGGTCAACGCAGCTCCCATGTGCATTGTCCATGTGCTTTCCCTCTCCCGAATCCACGGAGCCCAGGTCGCCCAAAGGCCTGCAGCTCCGCTTTCTCCACGCAGGTCCCGGCGTCTAAGCCGTGCTGCGCCAGGCGCGCCTTCAGAGCCTTCACGCTCAGCTCCTGTCAATTCCGAAGCGGAAAGGGTTGCCCAAGGACTGGAAGAATTGCCATTGGGGATCCCTGCCCCCCCCCCCCCCGGTTGCCCCCGGTTGGGCGGTTGGGCGGTTGGGCGTTTGAGGATCAACCAACCAACCAACCAACCAACCAACCAACCAACCAACCGGTTGGTTGGTTGGTCGGTCGGTCGGTCGGTCGGTCGGTCGGTCGGTCGGTTGGTTGGTTGGTTGGTGAGATACACTTTTTGGGGTTTCAAAGACCGGAAAACCAATCAATTCCATGACGCGATTCTGGCCCAGGTCTGGGCATCTGTCTCCTGCAATGGAGGTGAGGCATCGGTCTTGGCTTCAGACGAAGGCTTCCTGGCATCTCTCGGCAGATGGCAGGTGCCAGACCACTTTGGATGACTCACTCCCCTCAAGGCGCACTTTTGCATTTCCCATCGACGTCGTGGCTCCTTCTTTGGAAGCCGCACCTGCCTGGATCACACCTCCTGATTAGATACAGGGTGACCTCCCCAGGCCACCAGACTTTCCATGAAATGGCTGGTCTGGACGATCCAATCAGCCAATGTTCATGCACTCATATCCCCCATGGCTCATCTTGTTCCGCCCCCTCTTCCAGCGGTTCACGGCAATTGGTTTCACCGGCTGCGGCTGAACCTGGCAGATTTTCTCACCGATCTTCTTCTCAACAAAAGTAGGGGGTATGTCAGGGCTACGTCTGAGCGTATCGAATTCCGACTCTCTGTCTCAATCGCCTACCGGCCTGACGCCACTCCAGGAACATCGCGTGCAGGTGGGGGCTGCGGGCCCCGAGCTCTTCCAGCAAGGCATTGCAAGCGTTCATGCGATGCAACCGCTGCAAATGCTTCACCATGCCCTCCACATCCTCCGAGATCACATTGTGCAGGCTCAGGTAGTTGTCGTTGCGGCCCTCCTGGGTTCCGTGTTTTCAAGTTGCGTCACCAGCTGTGAGCCTTCCGGCCAGCCAACAAAATGCCTTCTTGTTGCTCACAAAACAAGATGTCCTGCGCCAGGTCTTTCCTGAGCCATCGCACATCGTCGATGTGCGCATCAGCCTCCTGGTTGCCAGTGGTTGCTAAATGCGCCGTGAGAGCCTGGCGCGGATTGAAAACAGGCTCTTGCACACAAGATGGCCCCATTTTTGGAGTTCATGAGGCAACACGCACTCTTTAATTTTGGGTCTGTTCTTTTTTGGGGTTGCTACCCGTTTTGCGGTTGGTTTAAAGAAAACCAAATGGAACACCGAAACCATTTTGGGGTCCCCCAAGAAGCGCCTGGACGTTGGAGCTGAGCTGCCGGTGCAGAGCCCGAGGCAGCGACCGCCCCAGGCGCTTGCTGGTCTTGTGAGTGGCCTCACCGGAAGCTCTCGCTCGTGCGCAGGACACGGTTTGTCAGATCATTGCTCGCCTTCCTTTTGGCCCAAAAGGACTCTAGGGCCCTAGGGGAGAAGGGGTGAACCCATTGGCCCATCCCTGCCTGCAGGTGCCGGTGGTAAGCCCCGGAGCAGAGCTCCATGCTGGGCAAAAACCGGACTTCGCCGGACAAGTTGGGGCACCCGCCATGCCACACCCGGATATCCCCTCAATCCGCATTCGTTGGTTTAAAAAAACTTCAGGCTCTCAAATTAAAATTCCACTAATAAGGTGAGAACCTTCATACAAAGCCGCCCAAAAAGAAGATGTGAAGGGGCTTTGCGAGTCCAGAGTTCCCAAAGGAACCAACCATTGGTGGAAAAGTGAGGGCCAGCCTTTCGCGGTCCGGAAAAGAGCTTAAAAGGTTGAAGCTCAGTTTATTGTTAAGAATGGCTTGCATTCAGATGAGCTGCGGATGAGGCAATCGCCAGCTTGCAAAGGGAAGATCTTGGATTGCAGCCAGTCTCTGCAATGGCGGTACTCCTCCTCCAAGCCCGGCGCGGGAAGTTCCACCCGGTTTCGCGCCTGGCAGTACTGCTGCATGGATCGCCAGGGCACGATCCGCATCGCCCCATTCCAGGGCGTGAGCTCCTGAAGGGTTAAGACTTGCCCACGGGGTTTAACTGCTTCCGCTTTGCAAACAACCGGTGGGCTTAAGTCTACCAAATCCAAAAATGGGACCCTGGCCTGAATGATGTAATTCACTGCGACGCAGGGCGGATGCTCCTTGCTATGGATGGGGGCATCCTGGAAGTAGCCTTTCCCCTGGCCCTTCAGTGGCTGGGCAGGCCGCATGTCGCTGTGCAGCTTCTGGAAATGCGCAGTGCTGCCTGCACAAAAGCTTGCAATCGAACACCCAAAGGCTTTGAACAGGAAGACACCCAAAACTTGTCGGAAGCCAAAAGATCCAACAGGTCTGCAGAGTTTTACTTTGTCTTGACCCAGCGCCAGTGCGCTGACCAGGAGGGCAAGCAATCTCAGGATCAAAAGATCAAACCACACCACACAATGGGCATTCAAAGGGAAACGTCCGCCTGTGCAGTAGTCGCCTCCTGCGCCGCTCACCACATATCGGGAGCCCACTTCGGGCCCTTTGAAGATCGCGTCCGCGACTGCGTGCACAAACTGCTGCTCCAGGAGATGTAGAAATCCCCTCAAATGCCAGCACTGGCCAGAAGGCGTGACTGACCCCAAGGAGTACCTGCCCGGGTCCCGGTTGCCTCTGGCCTGGGCAGCAAGCCGGCTGTTGCAACTGTCATCTGCTTTTGCCGAGGATTCCACCACCAACATTGAAGGGGATGGGATGGGGCCTTACTCATCAAAACTTCGAACGTGAGGAGATTTACAAGCCCCTAACTCCATTGTGGATGTGTCCCCCAAACGGTTCACTTCGCTTTGGCTTCCTTTTCAAGACAAAACAAAGGTAGTGCACTGCGAAGTGTCCTTGTCCTTTATTCCCCTTTTTCAATCCGCCTCGGGGTCCTGCTTCTTGATCTCCTCATGCAACCCGCTGCACGCCTTCTGCACCTCCGCCACCTGCGCCGCCGTGAGCGCGTTCCGCAGCACCACGAAGCCGTGCTCACGGAACACGGCCACGGCCCTGTCCACGTCCCCCAGGTCTGCGGTCACCTCAGAAGGCTTCAGAGGCGGCCATGGGAGGTGTCAGATCGGGGGTCCCCCAAAATGGGCCGTTGTTGGGTAACAAACCCAAAAATGGTGCCCTCAAAACACACACCATGTGTTCAAGGGCGAAAAGAGTGGCTGTTGGGAGCCCAAACGGTTCCAACAGGTTCCAAAGGGGGAGAGAAAAAAAACGAGAAAACGTCACGCCAATGGCAAAGTGGCTGCCACGCTAGTCTTGCTCAAATCCAATGACGATTCCGGCGGGAAGCAAATGTCGAAGACCTCGCTCTCCGCCCGCGTCAAAGGCCGGCAGAAGTCCATGGCGAAAAGATGCAGCCTCAAACTCACCGTGTTTCCTTCAACATTGCATAGTGTCAGGTTGTTGTTGTGTCCAGGCCAAGACATCCGCAGGGTGAGCCGCAAGCAAGCTCAGCTGAGGTGTTCGATTTAGAGTATACAACCCCGCAACTAGGGTCCATTCTTGACCATCATCCCATCACAAAGTGAATGCGATGAGCGTGGCTGTGAGCCAGCTTGCGAGACGGCAAGTGTGATGGCACTTGGACAAATGAGGTCCATTGTCAAAGACACCCCGTGAGCATCATGCAACCCCCACTGCACGACTGCACGTGTCCCCAAACCCTGCCTCGGACTGGCGGGTGGCTGGGCCGGCTCATCTGGCAAGCGAGACAGCTAGGGACCTCCAATGGTTTTCCGTAGGGTGCACGTGCCGGAAAGCTGTCACATTGGGAGCCCATTTTGTGCCTGTTGGTGGTCCGCAGTGGGAAGCCCATCTTTCGCAAATGTTTGGTCACTTTTGTAAAAAGAATACACAATGAGGTGTCTACACATTCACACATTCCAATGTAGACTACTGATGCGACCGGCAGCTTTCTCAGGGATATCGCTCCGACATGGCTGTATGGCGGTCACGGGTCACCACTCCAGGAGCGCCTGTGCTTCTGCTATTGACATTGCCGGGGTTCGCGTTTTCGTCCTAAGTGGAGACATGTCACACTTCTGATTGTGTCACGGTCAACTCCTTGTAACATTGCATTGGGGCGTCATTGTCCGTCCCTATAAAATGAATCCTGAGTAATTCTGCTCAAACTCCCTTTGTAGACTGAATGATCACCCCTGCAAGCCTTCAAACCTGCTAACCAACCCCGAACCAGGGACTGTGACGATCCGGGCCAAGGCTCTCCGCAAAGCCGCCTCGCCCTCTTGCATGGCGGTGTCGCAGGTCTGTCGCTCTCCAGCTGAGCACTGCTCTTGTGGGCCTCTCACGTCAACAAACAACGACCAACAAACAACAAACAACAAACAACAGACAACAGACAACAAACAACAACAACAACAAACAACAAGCAACAAGCAACAAGCAACAAACAACAAACAACAAACAACAAACAACAAGCAACAAGCAACAAACAACAAAAAACAAACAAGCAACAAGCAACAAACAAACAACAAGCAACAAACAACAAACAACAGACAACAGACAACAAATAACAAACAACAAACAACAAACAACAAGCAACAAGCAACAAGCAACAAAAAACAAACCACAAACAACAAACCACAAACCACAAGCAACAAGCAACAAGCAACAAGCAACAAACAACAAACAACAAACAATAAACAACGAACAACAAACAACAGACAACAAGCAACAAGCAACAAACAACAAACAACAAACAACAGACAAAAGACAACAAACAACAAACAACAAGCAACAAGCAACAAACAACAAACAACAGACAACCGACAAAAGACAACAAACAACAAACAACAAGCGACAAGCAACAAACAACAAACAACAGACAACACACAACAAACAAAAAACAACTAACAACTAACAACAAACAACAAACAACAAGCAACAAGCAACAAACAACAAACAACAAACAACAAACAACAAACAACAAACAACAAGCAACAAGCAACAAGCAACAAGCAACAAACAACAAACAACAAGCAACAAGCAACAAACAACAAATAGCAAACAACAAACAACAAGCAACACGCAACAAACAACAAGCAACAAGCAACAAGCAACAAACAACAAACAACAAACAACAGACAACAGACAACAGACAACAAACAACAAACTACAAACAACAAACAACAAACAACAGGCAACAGACAGCAAACAAGAAACAACAAAAAACATTCAACAAGCAACAAGCAACAAACAACAAACAACAAATAACAAACAACAAACAACAAGCAACAAGCAACAAGCAACAAACAACAAACCACAGACAACAGACAACAAACAACAAACAACCCACAACAAGCAACAAGCAACAAGCAATGAACAACAAACAACAAACAACAAACAACAAGCAACAAGCAACAAGCAACATACAACAAACAACAAACAACAGACAACAAACAAAAAACAACAAACAACAAACAACAAACAACAAACAATAAACAACAAACAACAAACACCAAACAACAAACAACAAACAACAGGCAACAAGCAACAAGCAACAAACCATAAACAACAAACAACAAACAACAAACAACAAACAACAAACAACAGACAACAACAACAACAACAACAACAACAACAACAACAACAACAACAACAACAACCACGACGACGAAGACGACGACGACAACGACGACAACAACAACAACAACAACAACAACAACAACAACAACAGCCACGGCGACGACAACAACAACAACCACAGCAACAACAACCACAACAAACAAACAAAAAACAAACAAAAAAACAAACAAACAAACAACAAACAACAAACAACAAAAAGACACAACAAGCAACAAACAGAAACAACAAACAACAAACAACAAACAACAAGCAACAAGCAACAAACAACAAACAACAAACAACAGACAACAAACAAAAGACAAGAAACAACAA